TTTTTTGTTTCGGCGGTTTTTTTGGAGTCTTTCGGCGCCTTTGGGGGCTTTTTTGGACCTCTTTGCGTTTTCCCGCCCTTTGGACTTTTGTTGGGTCTCTTTTGAACTCTTTTTTTGTCTCTTTTGGACTCTTTTTGGGTCTCTTTTGGACTCTTTTTGGGTCTCTTTTGGACTCTTTTTGGGTCTCTTTTGAACTCTTTTTGGGTCTCTTTTGTGGGTCCTTTTTGGACTCTTTTTGGGTTTCTTTTGAACTCTTTTTTGGTCTCCTTTGGACTCTTTTTCGGTCTTTTTTGGACTCTTTTTTGGTCATTTTTTGCTTTTTTTTGATCCTTTTTCGGCTTTTTTTGATCCGTTTTGTCTTTTTTCGGCTTTTAGGACTCTTATTTGCTCCTTTTGGCCTTTTTTGGTCTTTTTGGGCTTTTTTGGGCTTTAAAATTCTCTTTTTGCTTTTTGGCCGTTTTTGGGTTTTTAAATTCTCTTTTGGTCTTTTTGGTCGGCCCTTTTTGGCCTTTTTGCATTCTTTTTGGATTCTTTTTTGGATTCTTTTTGGATTCTGTTTGCATTCTTTTTGGATTTTTTTTTGGATTCTTTTTTGGATTCTTTTTGGATTCTTTTTGCATTCTTTTTGCATTCCTTTTGCATTCTTTTTGCACTCTTTTTGCATTTTTTTTGCGTTTCCACTTTTTGTTCTTTTGAGGCCCTTTTTGTTTCCTTTTTAACTCTCGGTTTGGCTTTTTTGTGTTTTTTATTTGGCCTTTTTTCGGCTTTTTGAATTTTTTTTTGTTCTTCTTTTTCTGTTTTTTTGTTCTTTTTGTTCTTTTTTTCGCCCTTTTTGTCCCTTTTGGCGCTCTTGTTGTCCCTTTTCGTGGTCTGCAAACCCTAAACCCTAAACCCTAAACCCTAAACCCTTTTTTGTGTCTCTTTTTCGTGTACTTTAAACCCTCTTTTGGTGTTTGGCGATTTAAAACCCTTTTCGGTTTCTGCAACCCCTGTTTGGCAAAAAGAAAAGAAAGCAATCCTTTTATTTCTTTTCTTTTTTTCTTTTTCAAAACAAAACAAAAGAAAAGAATTAAAATTAAAATAAAATTAAAATTAAAATTAAAATTAAAATTAAAATTGAAATGAAATAAATGTTTGACTTGCGCTGCGGTGTACGTACAGGCACCATCATTGAAGTCAACGTCAGCGAATTGGGTTTAGTGACGCAAACTGGAAAAGTTGTTTGGGGTAATAAATAAATAAATAAATAAATAAATAAATAAATAAATAAATAAATAAATAAATAAATAAATATAAATAAATAAATAAATAAACTAATTAATTCATTTATTATTATTCAATTAAATTTAATTACTTTAATAATTAATTAATTGACAGGTTAATTAATTACTTAAATTTGTTTGTTTCATTTAAATTCAATTTTTGCACTTTTTGAATTTCGTTTAAATTCGAATTTAAATTTAATTTAAATTTGAATTTGAATTTAAATTTTAAATTCAATTAAGATTTGAATTCAATTTGAATTTAAATTTAAAATTGAATTTAATATTTAAATTTAAAACTTAAATTCAAATTCAAATTTAAATTAATTTTTATTTTTTATTTTTTGTTTTTTGTCTTCAGCTAAATATGCACAAGTCACAAACAACCCAGAACTCGACGGCTGCATCAACGCGGTGCTTCTCGTTTAAATTAGGGTTTAGGGTTTAGGGTTTAGGGTTTAGGGTTTGGTGTTTGGGGTTTAGGGTTTGGGGTTTAGGGTTTGGGGCCTCGGGGTTGAGGCCTTGAAGTGCTTGACAGAGAGCAAATAGAAGAAAAAAAAAAGCGATTAAATTGAATTTATTTAAATTAAATTAATTAAATTAATTAAATTAATTTAATTAATTTAATTAATTTAATTAATTAAATTAAATCGAATTAAATCAAATCAAACTAAATTTAATTAAATCAAACTTCATTAAATGCTGTTCAAGCATGAACAAAAACAAAAAGAACAAATTCAAACCGAACCCGTTTTTGTTTTTATTTCGTACATTTATTTGCTGCTACTGCTGCTGCTGCTGCTGCTGCTGTTGCTGCTGTTGCTGCTGCTGCTGCTGCTGTTGCTGCTGCTGCTTCTAAGGTGCCAAAGGGAAGAGCCCTGAGGTTTCTTTTTCTGATTTTTATTTATGAGAATAGAAATCTGCACAGAATACCATCTCCATTTGCTAGGATAAGTTATATATATATAATATATATTATATATAATATATATGTATATATATATAATATATATGTACATATATATATATATGTATATATATGTATATATATATATATATATATATATATATATATATATATATATATATATATATATATATATATATATATAGATAGATAGATAGATAGATAGATAGATATAGATATACATTTAAATAAAGGCAGACACAGAAGAGAGAAAATTTTAGTTTTAAATGAGACTAATGAGGCTTATTTTTGGATTTTTAAAACTTTTTATTGCAAAGAAATGAGGTGAAGAATGGAGCCACGGTGGCTTAACGGAGATTCAGAAAAGGGTTTAGGGTTTAGGGTTTAGGGTTTAGGGTTTAGGGTTTAGGGTTTAGGGGAGCTGCGAAGTCTCTGTTGAGGATGTGTGAAAAGAAATAATTAGAATTAAAGAAAGGAAATTAAAAATGCGAAGTGATCGAAGCAGAATGAGCTGGGGAGGTGTACATACACCCGGAGCTGTGGGGGTGTTTTGCTTTTGCGGAATTCGGGAAAAGTCCAAAAGGTTTAAATGAACGAAATAATGAAAAATACTATTTTATTTGTTTATTGTTTTAATTAATTCAAACTCTTTTGAATGCCATTAGTTTAATTGAAGGCGCGGGACGTTCTTCCTCAGCTGTACAGATAGACTGAGCTGTACAGACAGTTCCGGGAAGGTTAGCAGCGGAGCGTGGAAGTGTTTCTCGAAAGAAGCTAATTAAAGCCTTTAAACCTTTTAAAAGCAAATATAATTGATTAATTTGGAAAATTTACTTTATTTACTTCTTTTTTTGCCAAAATACCCCGTTTGAATGCGAGAAGACAGAGAATGCGAAGAAGGTAGGTGAGCTGTTGTCTCGAGGCGAATTTCGAGGTGAATTTCGAATCAAATGGGTAAAAGCGAGAGAACAGACAGAAAATAATTCAAATATAATTATAAAAAAGACTTTAAAAGAGTTTTTGAAGTTAATTTGAAGTGAGAGAAGCAGCAGGGCTGCGAGATAGGCGCTGCCGACGCGGTGTACGTACACCTCAGGCAACACCGCTACTGGCGCCGAGCCGCACATCTTTTGTTCAAATCTTCTTTTGTGAATAAAAGGCGAAATAAAATTGAAAATTGAAAGGTTATGGCGTTTGGTTTTACATTTCAGGTAATATTGCTCTTTGGTTTTCCTTTTTTTGGTCTTTTCTTCGCGCTTCCCAGCCTCCGCGAGCAGCAGGTCCTGCCACTTGAATCGCCGGAAACCGAGCTCTAAAACGGGACATTCTCGGTTTTTATTCATTTAAAACAAATAATTTATTTTTAATTTCCAAAAGAAACTCCGGGTGAGTTGTTTTAATGGTCTTTTCCCTCGCTTTCCGTCGCCACCGAGAAGTCCAGTGGTCCGCCAGTTCAGACCGCCTATTTCGGGTTTTTCGCCGAATAAACTCTTTTAAAAACATTTATTTCCTTTTTATTTGTTTTTAATTTATTTTTAAAAGAAAAAAGAAAGAAAAAGAGGGATAAATAACAGCTTTTTGTACATTGGCCCCGCAGACACACAAATACCATTTAATGGCAATTAATTCAGAAAGCGACAAATATTAAGAACACTAATTGCTGCAGCAGTCCAAAAGGCAGCAAATTTGGACATTAAAAAGCCATTTAATTTAAATATTTAAATTAATTAAATTATAATTTGAATTCTTTTCAATTAAAAAGAATTTCTTTCAATTTCCTCTTCGCAGCAAAATGGAAAGAATAGGAGAATACGAAATTGTTTCTGTCGTCGGCAGCGGCTCTTTCGGCAAGGCAGTTCTCGTGAAGGACAGGGCGGGACGCAAGTAAACCCTAAACCCTAAACCCTAAACCCTAAACCCTAAACCCTAAACCCCAAACCCTGAACCCTAACCCTAAACCGTAGGCCCTCAAGCCTAGTTCCTTGCCTTTTGGTGAATTCCAGAGTTATTCTGTTAAAGGGTTTTAGAGATTCGGCAAGACCTAGAAAGACGCCTATCCTTCCCGCCAAGGGTTTAGGGTTTAGGGTTTAGGGTTTAGGGTTTTGTGGGGCGTTGTTTTCGTCAGACTGATAATGAAGCTCATTAACACGAGGCAAATGAACAAGGAAGATATAGAGGAGGCGAAGAGAGAAATACAGGTACGCCTCGAGGGTTTAGGGTTTAGGGTTTAGGGTTTAGGGTTTAGGGTTTAGGGTTTAGGGTTGTTTTTGTTTTTCAGGTTTTGTCTAAACTGGTCGACGCCCCTTTTATTGTTCACTACAGAAATGCATTTAACGACACTTATCACGGAAACCCTCACCTCTGCATCGTCATGGACTTCTGCGAGGGTGCGAACGAGGGTTTAGGGTTTAGGGTTTAGGGTTTAGGGTTCGGGGTTTACGGGCGAGGGTTTAGGGTTTTCTGCTTCATCTGAAGCAGAAAACACGGCGGAGTTGACTCGGGAAATAAAAAGCCAAAACTGCCACAGCCAAGGGCTCAGGCTTTAGCGCTTAGGGCCTAGGGTTTAGGGTTTAGGGTTTAGGGTTTAGGGTTTAGGGTTTAGGGTTTGGCGCAGGGGGCGACATGGCGAAGCTGATTCGCGAGCGAAAGCGGCAGCGCAAACCCTTCAGCGAAATCACTTTGAGGACTTGGCTGCTGCAGTTGGCAGTGGCACTGGACTTTATGCATAAACACAAAATACTGCATAGAGGTAATTAATTAATTAATTAATTAATTAATTAATTAATTAATTAATTAATTAATTAATTAAT